GATACCTCAAACTGTCAGCTACTAATCGTCTATGGAACGTTTCTTTTCATGTAGTATACATTCGCAGAAAAATAAAGAACAACCACATCACTCTCAACATTTTGTCCCAAATTCATCATCGCGTTTCGTCGTATATTTTTACTGTAATTTTTACACGGCTCATTCAAATAAGGTAAGATTTTCATGGATTGTGGAGATGACAGAGGCACATCTTCCACCGAAACCATGAGCCTTCTACATAACCTAGTTGTTGAGAAAAGTCAATAAAACTGTAGCCAAAACGTCATCGCGTTACGCTCGGAGAGGCTTATAAGCTAATAAAACAGCATTGACACGATCACTTATATCAGAAAAACTAAGTAGAATTTCATGTGCCCAAAAATATGTAAATAAATCATGTAATAATTCGACAGGTAATCGATCGAAAAGACAATGGTGATTCATAAGTGAGGTTAATTTCGAAAATATTGATGATATTCGAACACAGTAAGGCTATCAAATATTTGAAAAGGAATGTGTTGTACGTATAAGTTTGTGAAATGAAATCGAATATTTTATTGTTAAAAATAATTTAAAAAAAACGTGAAAAAATAAGATTAGAAAACTAGTAAAAAGGAAGAATATATGAATAAACACGCTTACTCATACGTGAAGGAAGTAGAATACAAATGAAAGAGAATGCTAATGTTTAACTGTCATACAGTGTCATCTTTTGATCATAATATTTTGTGTACAAGATATTTACCTGTGCAATTCATAAAAATAAGTGATAAACAGACTGCACAGTGTATTGATGTTTTATTGCTTTGGAGAATTAAATATGATGGGTGTGAGAAAAATGTATCACCTTCATAGACAACCACACCCTCAAGATGGGACATGGTCCACCCCTCACAAACTTGAATGATTATTTTTAGTTTACATTTAAGCAACTAATAGTACAAAATACATTATTGACTAAATGAAAGAATTATTGTTCTGGATGATTGTCTAGCGAAAGAAAAGAAAAAATAAAGCATTAAGACATGATAACCGCAGAAGAAAAGAGAAAAACATATTCTCTGTCTTTGTCTTTTTCTTGTTCTTCACTAGAAGACTCATAAAAATAAATATATCGATAAATAATGATAAGCGTGGAAAAGCAAATAGAGTCAACTTGGGTTTTTTCCCAGTTCACTTGTGGTATATATATGACAAATATTATTTACAATAATCATTTCCATCGTCAAATTACTTCACAGGTAACATTTTTATTTTGAAAATATCTCATTAAGATAACCAGACATATAGGAACATAAATGATAGCTAGAAAGTACTATATAAAAGTAATTGAGAATACATAGAAATATTACTATCAATGATATTTTTGTAGAAGCTTACGGTATGAATATATAATTATATATGATAAAAGTTATATCAAAAAAAGGGAAAAGATTCAGTGAAACCATAAAATACCATCGTAATTTTTATCAATATATTGAAAATTAAGTTTTATGAGTATATATAATTAGTGACAATAGAATCGTTATTTTGTAACATTTACATTAATTTTTAACCCAGACTACGTATATATATATATATATATATTGATATAGAAAGCTTTAATAATCGTATAGAGGTTCCGTACTTCCTTCTATTGGTTTTCCTAAAGACCAATTAACTATGTTTTGTTTTTTTTTCAGCGAAATATGTTGTCCAAAGATTTGAAATAAGAATGACACAAAAAATCTTTTTGAATTATCTAAATTTTTGACTGTAGCTTGTGACAGCCCAGATAGTTACGTTTATCTAATGACCGATCATTATTTTCTTTTCAGAATATTTGAATTTATTTACATTGATAAAAAAAATGAATCGAGCTGAACTACTCAGGAGATTTCAAGTTACTTGTGGCTATACTTTCAAGAACATCCGGCTTCTGGAGGAAGCTCTTACACACGATAGTAATCGCGTGAACGATCGTACTCTACCTACATACCAACGTCTTGAATTTCTTGGCGACAGTGTACTGAATTTAGTCGTCAGTGAATATCTTTTTCACGCCTATCCGGATGCTAGCGAAGGACAATTAACAGATAGACGAAAGGAGCTTACGGAATCAAAAAAACAAGCACAAATTGCTGAAACTCTTAATCTCAAGGATCATATTCTATTTGGGCAGAGCGTAAAAAAAGAGACATATGCTGGACATCATAGTTTTGTCGAATCAATAATTGGCGCTGTTTATATTGATAGTGGTATGGATGAATCAAAAAAATTAATTCGTCGACTTTGGGAACTTACTGATAGTTACACTCCGAATAATGCTGGTGGTTATTGTGTAATATCATAGCTTTAAAAGCTTCGAATATTCAATGACATATTATTCCAACACTTATTTCATTTAAAATTTTATTTTTATGTTTATTTCAAATATTATAAACTTTTTTTTTTATCAAAACCTATATATTGTAGTAAAACTATTTTAACAAATTTAATTTCAGAATATGTGTATACGTATTTGGTTTATCTCTTTTAAAAATACTGACTTTCTTCAAATTTTTAATAAATTCCAAGAGTTCTTTTGAATATTTCTATGTAATTAAAAGATTTCATTTTCAATGATTTGAAACTTGGCTCAATTCTTGATTCTAGTTTTTAGCACTGCTGGACTCAAGTAACAATACTTTCAGTTTATTATCAGTATCAATCATTTCGCTTATGAAATATTTGTCTACATAAATTATTATTTTAATGAACATTTTAGTTATTTTCATACATTATCTTATTAACATACAAATATATTCAATTTCCTGTTTTATTCTTCAGTACCCATCCTTCCCATAGTTTAGTATAATGAAATAAATGTTGATGTGTTATTTCCAAACCTAGTTCAATTTGACAATAAATACACGATGCCTCTGGTACAAGCCCAAGGTGTGTAGCAAATTGAATAATTCGAAAATATTGTGTCATATTATTTAATATTAAAGCTGGTAGAATTTCAAATTCACACCCTTCACAGTTTATACTAAGTAAATCAATAATTCCATTTTTTGTTTTAGTTTGTCTTATATCTTGAAAAACTTTAACAATATCAAGTAATTCAACTTGTACGATTTTTGATGAATTTTCAGAGGAGAGTTTTCGAAAAATACTTGTACCAGCATTACCATAATCATGTGGTTCAATTCTTAAATTTCTTGCATAACTACCAAGTCCATATGGATGAATTTTGACTTTTGAATTCGTTTTAAATTGTTCAGTTAGATTTTTTGCCATTGATACTAGTGGTTCATAACTAATTATCCATGGATCATAAAGTTTAATAAATGCAACTGTATCATGTCCACGATTTCCACCAACTTCGATAATAAGTGAAGATGAATTCAATAAGCCTTTATGTCCTGTATGGCGTACTCCTTCAACATCCCAGAACGATCCATCACTACCCCAACTCATACATTTATGAAGTTTTCGAATATTTAGGGCTGAAACGGTTTTTGCTGTTTTACATGTGAAATTTTCATATATAATAGGTGATGCCGAAATAAATGTATTCACAACTATCTTAGGATATATTCTGTCGGACTTGAAAAATAGTAATATGCAGAAACATATTACTACACTCAATGATAGATACGTAACTTGTTTACGTGAGACCATAGTCAATAACAATAAGTTTTTTCCAGTCAATAGATCATATTAATTTTGGTAAATATTTCTGTATTTCTAAAACTAAAGTAAGAATATATCACTAGGTCAAATAATTTAATTTTCATTGTAGAATATTCTTATTTGAATGTTACTTCTTTACTCACCTATCTTTCTATTCCTTATATCTGAACTTTTATTCTATGTGAATACAGAATAAAAATTTAAATAATAAAACAATCTTTCGAATAAAGAATACAATCGTCGGTGAAACTCCTTGAACAATAAAATTATGTGCTTTAGATACATCATGAAATTTTTCTATTATGTCAATAATAAGAAAAATTTATGTGGAGGAAAAAAAAAGTGCACTTGTATCGAACATTTTTCTTTCGTAAACAAAAGAATACCATAAAAAGAAACGCATTGGTCACATTTACTCGCGGTTTTTATACTTTTTTTGGCCATGTGTATAATCTCTTTGAGTTTCTAAAACAAGAAAGCCACATGCTATGATTAAATCTAATGATTTTTCTTTCTATCAAATATATGAAAAAACGTTTTCTAGGAATTGTCTATACCTTCATAAAATTGCCTTCTCATGCAAATCAATAAAACAAATATTCAAACAGCATACATTTCTTTTTTTTTTGACCCTCATATCCATTAAGAGTTCTTGTTTCGTCATAAT